TGGGAACTTCTTAGCTTTTCAAATAAATACATTCATTTATCTGGCCAAGGTATTACTCCAGAACAAGGCAATACAGAGCGTTAAATACACACCAAATTTGGGTACTACTGTTGCCTCTATAAGAGCCATCTTAAACCATTTTCTACAAAATAAGGTCCTGGGTGATGAAAATGAAAATACTCCTGTTGGTTCTCAAAAGCTTAGGTGGACTTTTGTCCTAAATGGTGATTAACTCACTCATGTATGTTTATAATCCTTTTAAGCAGTTGCATAAATATTCCAAGTGGTCCTTGAAGATGCTGGGTAGGACAGTGAGTGGCTCATTTCAGCCCACAGGAATGCAGGATCTCATGCTAGGGGGAAAATCCTGTTCACACTGGAGTAAATGTGTTTTTTGTTCTGCCTTTAATGGCATTTCTGTTCCTTTTTCTGAACTTAACTGAGAATGGGATTTTACCCATCTCCTCACATGATTCTAGGTCAAACCTAAATTCTAGCTTTGAGTCTTTTTAAATGGGGAAAACTAAGGTGAAACTAAATAAATCCAGAGAATAAATCCAACCTCAGATGGAGAAGGACTCTGGTAATTTTCCTGAAGCAGACATGCTCTAAGCAAACAGTCTGTGCAATGTCAGCAGTGCTCCAGGTGCTGGGCAAGCAGCTGTGTCACCTGCCTGCACTGCTCTTACAGGTGGGCAGTGTTGTCCCTGGCCAAAGGGCCCTTCCTTCTCCCACAGCAAATGCAGGGGATGTTTGGGATGAGAAGGTCATAATACCACAGAAGGAAAAATGCACTATTTCCAGGAACTTTCAGTGAAACTTCAGACTTCACAAAGATAAGGCTAGGTAAGGAATTTCAGGGACAGAGTTCACACAGGTAAATTCTCAGGCAGTCTATTTTTATGTTGCAAGTAAGTGGGCCTAAAATATTCCATAAACTTTCACTGTATTCTTTGCATTAAATCAAATAATTAGTTATTCATCTCTCACCTCTGATTTTGTTAAATAACCAATGCCCTAATTCAGAGGCAAGAATTTAACCCATAGAAAATTCTGTCCTGGGAGAAGATCAAAGTCAGTCCTGTGGTGTTAAGCACACACCTACAAGCACATGATCCTGAAAAAAAAAATTAGGTGCATGTTTAAGTCAGCCTATCCCTTCTTACTGCTCCCCATGCATTAACCTAAGCCTCTGTTGGAGCATTTGTGGTGCCAGGATCAAGGACCTGTGGAGATACACTGGGAGAGCAGGGCTATGAAAACGTTGCAAGCAAACCGGTGAGAACCCCAGCAGGCTGTGATGGCAATGCCTCCTCATTCCTCTGCATCTACCAACACTACAGGAAGAGATTGAAAGTCTCTTGGGCTACATAAATACACACAATAAGGGCATACAGAAAAAGGTGAAATGGCCCTGCTTATCAGGTACAATTAAAATGAATAGAGGATGACTAATAAAGAGGCAGTTTAAAATCTTTACATGACACAGTGTCAAGGCAACAGTGTTGTGCAATAGCGCTGACACAATTAACACTGTGTCCCTGCCTTGGGCAGAGCCGGGAACGGGGCTCCCGCTGGCCTCGCCCGCACCCTCCCATGGCGAGGGCTGGGTGGGCTTCACCGCTCCAGCTCTCCGCTCTTTGATGCATCCCAGAGCCACTGCAGAACCCGCGCAGAAACAGCCACTTCAGACCAAGGCAAGAGTGCTTTTTCCTCTTTGTCATCTCTGTTCCTCTCTTTCCTTTTCGTTTGCATGATCCCAAGCCTCACGGTTACTACTGTGTGAAAAGGGAAAAACATCACGTTGAATTTCTGGGCACACTTTAAAGGGAAACTAGGCTGAGGTGCCTGATTCTGAACCAGGGCTGGTTAGTGACTTAGCACTAAGCAATGCAAGCATTTCCTGTGTTGGAATTTTTGCAGTGTGTAATTTAAAAGCTAGCTTGGAAAATCCTTTGCTGAGGATGATAGATGGTGAATGAGAGTGTGATCTTCCAAAATACAGCCCAAGGTATCCTTCTAGTTCTATTTTAGTTCTATGTTGCTCCTTAGTGGTGCCCGTCAGGCTACAGGATCTCCCAGTCCACTGGGTGAGTGCAGCAGGGGCAGGCTGGATTTTAGATACATATCTATAATGTGTATATGTTTAATGTGCATATACATGTGTGTGCATATTTATATATACATAGATACTATATATATACACTTCTATTCACACACAAGAGCATATATAAAAACATACACAAGACTATATATAAGAACAACAAATATAATTTTTTTCTTTGATGTTCATGTTTTCTGGCCAAAACCAGCTCTCTCTTGGTTTTATTGCTGCTGTCATGTCTTTGCTATGCAGCACTGTCAAAAAATAATAATATAAACAAATTTGAGGCTATGCGAAACATCACTGAGCACAGCCAAAGCTGCCCAGTGCCACAACTTGCTGAACAATGTGTGGATTCTGAAGTGGCAGAAATGTCTGTTTCCCTATTCTTTCTTGACTTTTAGAAAGATCTTGGCAGAAAGTGTGTTAAACTCCTTCACCATTGCTGCAGGAGGATTGGCTCCTGTATTTCCCCAGTCTGCTAGCTCTACCTGCCAGGGGCTGCAGGAATGTTGACTGGAACACTTCAAATAAAACATGATTTCTGGTCAGCAAGTAGTTTTTTACTGAGGCAAAGTGGTATTTCTGAACAGTTTGCTTTATTAGAAGGCAGTGTTGATGCTGTTTCCTGTGCCTGTCAAGCTTGTGGGAAGGGGGGGTGGCCATGGAAGGGTCCCAGCATTGCCAGCACCCCTGGCCAGCTCCTAGCACAACTCAGGGCAATGGCTGTGGCACTTGTACCTTGAGGGGAAACCTACCTCCAGGGCCACATCCTGCCTACCTGTGCTTCCACCCATCCATCTGTGGGTGCTTAATGTTAAAGTGCATCAGTCACAGAGTTCGATGTTCTCATCATTCCTCATCTACTTCCTCAAATGTGTATCTGCATGCCAATGTAGGGAGGCAGTGACATCCCAGTGGTGATGATCACTGCTGTGACAGGGCTGCACTTCAGGCTGCAGAGACACACCTTAACCCAAGTAAAAGTGGAGAGAAACGCTGCATTTGATATCTGTTCATATCTCGCCTGAAAGTGAGCAAGAAGGATTTTTACCACATGAATGAGGGGAGGGTTGCTGTGTTTTGCAAGACGAGGCCACATGCCTCAAAAACCCATTCTAAGGGAGAAAAAGAGATTTGCCACTTGTGGTAGGCAGCACAACCAAGCTATTTTCTTTGCCTCCAATAGGAAAGTAAATATTAAATATTAACTGCATGCAAATGTGCCCTTTTACTTGTCCTCATCAATAACAGCTGATGTTCCTCAGGATTATTGCTGTAACAATGTCACTTCCCTTTCTTCACTGGCATCAGGTTCACATTAAAAGCCTCATAGCAAAGTCTTTTGTCCACTGTCCCATTTGTGGTCCTGCTTTTGTCCCCCATGCTGTGCTTTGGGGCACTGGCATATGTGGAGATGTGGCCATGCAGACTGCCTGCATGCCTGCCCCTTTCCTCCAGCAGAACAAGGGCTGGGAGAGGAACAGAAATTTTGGCTGAACAAAGAAAGCCAGTGGTAAGGATGCCAGCTGTGGCAAAGACCTACAAGGCAGCAGTGTGCTCCCAGACAGAGCAGATCTTCCAGCATTGCATAGGTTAAGGAGCAGCTTCCCAAGAGGAGCTGGAGAGGGGAAAAAAGCACCCCCAAAATTAACTTGTTTGTAAGGGAGTGAACTCAGTTTTGGAAGCTGCTTGGAGCAGCCTGGGTCCAGAGTCAGGGACCCAGCAATGTTCTCCCGAGGCGTCCCAGTTGTGCCGTCAACCAGTGGCTTCCCACTGCAGCGCAGGTCCCCATCTGGTAGTGCCTTGAGAAGAGAGAAGAGATTTCAGAACAGTCTTAATGCCTCAGCTTTGGTACCTACTGTTTCCAGATACAAGAGGAACATAAACCAGACTCTGGTGACTGGCAGGATCACATGGCACGACTGAGCAGCGGCCCCCGCCCTACTGTCCGGCAGCACCGTGGCAACGCCGGTGGGACCCGCTGCTCCTACCGCTGCCGGTTGCGGCTCCGCGCCCGCAGCAACGCACGGCTGTAGTCGTGGGCAGGGGAAAGGAGCTGCCCGCTGTCTTTGGAGAGGAGGGTAAATAGTTACAGTGGAGAAAGGGAATTTAAAAAATAAACAAAAAAAAACTATGAGGAAGGAAGCGGCAAATGTTAAATGGGTGACTCACGGTACAGGATGACTAATCCCGTCAGGGCACAGCTCATGCTGCTGAGGGAACCGGTGCCGCGAGCCTGGCGGGAAGCGTAGAACGGCTGCGGGGTCCGTCGGGGCAGCCGGGGCCCGGCCTTGCTCCGCTGCGCTCGGCGAGAGCCGCGCACGGAGGGAGGACGGGCCGGTCCCGGTAGGACTCCTCGGCCGGGGCCACCTCGCGGCCGGTACCCGCGGATCGGCGGCAGTGACCTACTTTTCGCCGGCTCCTCCCGGCATACGACACCGCCGCTGCCCGCGCCACCTGCCCGGCCCTGTCCGGGCCCCGCGCCCGCGGAGGTGGACTGCTCTCCGCGCGTACCTCCCGTAAGCTCCGCTCCGCGCTCTGCCCACGGGCGACGGCGGCTAGTGCCGGCGGCGGCGCTGCGGGAAAGCAGCGCGCCTGTGCAGTGCCGGGGGGCCGGGCCCAGCCTGCCGCGTTACACAACCGGTCGCCGCCACAGCCGAGTTTCACAGGTCCCGCCGCGGCTGCCCGCAGCCTCCGTCCCCCGTGCGCTCACCCCCACGTAGCGCATTTCCCGTACTGCCCCCTGCCCTGCCCGCGCTCATGCCATGTCACCGCCGGGCAGCGGGACCCCGCGGCGAGCGGTAACCCCTGTCGCTGGGGGAGCACCGCGCCGGGACTGGGCATGGCACTGAGAGCGGCTCCAGGACGCTCATCTTCCTAGACGGTACGTACGGCTCCGGGGGACGCGAACCCTACTGGGGTGAGGCGTGCAGGAGGGAGGGTCCTGGCAGCCCTCAGGGAGCGGCGGCAGCCCTGGAAAAGCCCCGGCTTACCGCAGCAGGGCCGGTACGCGGTACTCGCCGCTCCGCCCTACCTCCGTCGGACACTGCCGGTACGGTCGCAGGTAAGTTATGAAAAGGAAAACAGACAGCCGCAAGTCCTCTGATTTTTTCCTTAAAAAATCCGTATCGGTCAAGACAGGGCAGAGGACGCACCGCAGTGTGTCCGGAGCCGACACTATAGAGGGCAGGCGGGAAGGGGACGCCGGGATCGGGATGCAGGAGCGTGGTGCATCCGGCCGGGCACCGACATCCCCGTCCCTCAGCACCCACGGACCTCGGCGCTCCGAGGAGCCACTCGGGAGTAGCCACGGGCTACTTAGCGCAGCTGAGAGTTGTGGTGATTTGAGATTGAGGGAAACAGATTTTCAGGAGACTGAAACGGGTCTGATCGCAGGCTTCTCGTTCTGTCTTGAAGTTCGTCATTCAAGGAATGTGTTTGACTGAAAACAGTGTGGAGAAAAATCTCCGAAATGAACCTAAAAACAGCTTCTAAAATACAGGTTGAAAAGTCATTCTTCCCACCAGGATTGTTGCGTCATTTGATTTTACAGAATGTCTACAGTATGAGTGGGGAATTAAGAATGTTCCAGACATGGATTTGTGAATGATAACTCCACGCCTTGGTCCTTAGCGGCGGAAATTGTGAAGTGATTGCTCTGGGTAGCTCGCAGTGGAAGCACAGGTCGGAGCTGAGCCCTGTGTGATTCATCAGTGAGGTGTCACAGGCAGTTTGGACAGCTGTAGTCCTCTGTGAAGTGTCGCAGTCCCCGAAGGCAGGAGGCTCCTGAGCCATCGCGGAGCAGGTCCCTGCTCGGTGGATTTTGGGGAAGTCCAGTACATCAGTCCCTTTTCGGGGAACAGAACTGGCACCCAAGTGCCAACTACCCCTGATCTCTGAATGAAGTTGTCTCCTAGAGCAGTGGAGTGGCCCCGGAAATAATGTCCCTGAAATCAAAGGTGTTAAAATGCCCTATGCTTTACCTGCCTGGGGAGGGTAGGGTTATTTATTAGCTGAAGTTTACTTTGTTGTGTGCAGTGAAAGCTGTGGTGCTGATTTCACTAGAGGGATGAGATGTTCTGGTATATACATGAGAAAATCTTAGGAGTCACTTCCTTCATTTTTGAACAGAGTGCTGGTGCTCCCCTGTCCTTACTTTTCTGGATCACTGCTAGCTAATCCCTAGCTCTGCAAATGTGAATTTGGCTTAAAGAGACAGCGGGATCTTCATGGGTTTGATATGTAGTCCTTATAGTTCTCACGGATTTAACGGATGTTGTTTGAAGCAGCAGACACTTTAAAGAGTATGCAATGTGAAGCCCTGGTACTGAATGTCTGACAATATGGTGTTTTGGTTGGGAATTTGTGTGATTTTTATAAACTTCCTAGGCTGCAGTCCCTCACCATAGTTATACAGACAGAAAAATGCATTTGGATTTTGGGTTTTTTAGAAACTGTATTTTAAAATAAAAGAGATCATTCTCCTGTAACGTGCTAATCAGAGTAAGTCAGTGTGTCAACGCTGCACCAGGGAGGACCAGAACAACAGCACTTGGAGCTCTGCGGCTGACAGAGCCCTGACAAATGTAGCAGGCACTAATGAGGGCAGGAAGCTCCAGAGAAAGCCAGAAGTTGAAATTTGTGTGGAAGGGAGGCATTCGTATCTCTTGGGCTAAACACGTGTAAACAATCTTTAGAATTTTTCTGGAAGAGGTAGTAGGAAGAATGAAAATGGATTTAGGAGTGGTTGCTTGCTGCTCACGTATCCTGATCATTCCAAGCTGTGGATTACAGTTACTTGATTAGAGGAAAAAGTAAAATTGGTTTGAAATGCTTTTATAAACTGCAAACTTAAGTAAGATATGTGATGGTTCCTGGGTTTTAGACACTGAGACTATATATATATATTATATTATCTTTCTGGTTTAAGACATACATCAACTACACAAAAATAGCTCAAAGATTAAAATTAGCAAATGAGTAGTTCATAATTAAAGTCTCATGATAGAGGAAGTGGCATTATATTGTGGAGATACTGATATCAAATCCAATTTCTGCTCATTAATAGTATCAAAATATTGGTAGGATGTCTTTATAGTTTGGAGCCAGGGCTTGTCTATGCACAGAAGTTGCTTTGTTTTGTCCTAAATTACTCAGCCTCCCAAGATTTACATGTAACAGTTAAAGGTTTTAATGCCAACACAGATCACTCTTTCAAGACTGGAGAAATAAGGTGTGTTCCTATATCAGAACAACTGTATTAGGGCTTGTACTGGAACAGTTACAGATCCTAGTGAAATAATATGGTGTCTTAGTTTAGGGCAAATTAGGAAGGAAAACTCCAAATGGGGATTTCCCCAGGGAAATGCCCCTCCCCACTAACTGGTCCGGGAAAAGAAAAAATTCCTTAGAGAGAAGTGGAAAAAGCTGTTTATTTAACAGAAATTGAGTAATATTAAATAATAAAACTCTTGCTGTTCGATGGGATGGCAAATCTAGGAGGAAAAAAAGCCCTTTTCATGTGGTGTAGCTCGGCTCGCTCAGGTTCTTATCAGTCCCTCCGTCGCTGGAAAGTGCCGAGGCCCAGGCCCCGGTGGGCCACAGGCGTGAGCTCCCGGGGTTTGGCTGGGTGTTCAGTCCAGAGCAGGCTTGCACAGATCCAAGAAAATTGGGAAAAAAACAAACAAAGGTCCAGGGAACTCCTCTGCCTCAGCTAGCTAGAACTAACTAAAAGCCAGAGAGAAGCTCTGTCCCGCTGTCTGTCCGTGCTGCAGACACCACAGTCCAGGAGCGGGATGTGTGGGAGTGATGTTTTTCCTTAACACAAACTGCGCGCTTCTTCTTCCCCCTCTCTTGCTCTCAAAGCCAGTCTTAAAGGTGCAGAACTTAATATATAATATAAACCAGACGACTGGGGATACCACTATCATAAAGTCACCCCAGGACATATGGCTTTAAGCAGAAAAATAAAACTTCAAAATACCAAAATAGTATGAACGAGTGTTTTCTGGTATTATTGAAATAATAGACGTCACTTATCACTTCAGTTACAAATCTCTGTCAGGGAAGTCAGGCAGGTACAATAACTGTATTTATTTGTTAGGACCTGGTTGACATCCTTCTTTTGAGTCCTGGCTCAGCTGGGGCCCTGCTCTGCTCAATGTACTCTTGCAGTAGCAGCTCTGTGCCCACCAGCATGGCCGTGGTGATGGGCTTACCTGGCTGTAGCTCCACCAGCTCTGTCCCATCCTCAGCCCAGGCTGAGGCCATTCCATTTTTTTTGCCTTGTTTCACTGCTACTTTGGTGTGGCCAAAAGGCCTATATGCCCCGTGGCCCATAAACTGAAGGAGCAGTGTCCCTGTAAAGAAGTCCTGCAAGACCCTATTTATTGTTACTCCCATCTCACTTAAGCCCAGATTTAAGGGTGGCTGAAGTGGCCACAGCAAGAGCTCTGTGCACAGCTGGGCTTGCTGGCTGCACATTTTCCCAGCCTCAGAATCACCAGATTCAGACAAACCACAAAGGTGTGTACAATTAATGAGAGACTTTTACCTACTTCATATTCCTTTATTGTATTTGGCCTTGTCTACATGAGGAAATTACACCAAATCAGTTTAAGTCTGTTTTTAAAGTGATTTGATGAATCTGATGTGATCTTGTCTAAGGACATCATTTTGGTTCAAATGAGCTTATTTGGGTTCAACCAAAACCTGCACTTAGTCAATTTGCACAGAACTGAAATTAGACATGTCTAAACTGGAAGGGGACCTGATGTCTCTAAATAATGACACAACTTTCTCATGAAAACAGAACCTTCTGTACAATATGGAACAGAGTGTAATTACTCACAAATTTGCAGGCAAGTAAAAGCTATTCATAGCAAAATTTTCAAAAAAATCCAGGGAAAACAGCAAAACTTAAATATCTTCGTGAGACAAATGAAGAGGTGCCAATAATCCCAGTCCTAGAATACTGAAAGAAGTGGCACCAGGCTTGCATAGCTTGCAGCAAGGTTCTCCCATGGCTCTTCAGATGCAAAAAAGGACAAGAATTTGTGTCTATTACAGGGAGTCCCTAGAGAGTCAGAAAATAAAAAAACAATGCAGGAAATGTTAGGCCAGCTGGTTTGAACACAACAGTACTCAGCATCTCATGACGTGTTTTGTAGGAAAGAATAATTAGACATGGAAATAATGAGGAAGCAGGCTAAATTACAACAAGATTTTATCAAAGATGGATTGTGCTAGAGAAATCTAACATCTTTTTCCTATAACAGATTACTTAGATGGGGTAGGGTAGGAATGTCATTTATCTAAAGGCAAGCATTTGATACATTGCCCCACAGGATGTTACGGCTTAAAATGAAGATGGTGGTTCAAGACAAGAATTGAAATGTGGAAAAGAACGTGGCCAAAGAAAAGATAAAACCATTGTATGCAAATAAAGTTGTCTGAATGGAAAGAGGTATTCAGAGAAAGTCATCAGGATGGAGGGAGATTGATGGTGTTGCTCCCTTGGGACCAGGTTTGGACCTGTTGAATGGATCTGCTCTGACCTGTGTGCAGTGTCTGGGTGTGTGCCCAGGAGCTGTGTGAGACGACAAAAACTTGGGAGGTATTGTCAGTAGAGAGGAGGATAAGATTATCACATGAAAGGAATTTAGATGACATTGTTGATTGGGAATGATAGACATAAAGTGGCATTTAATAGTGCTGAGTGCAAAGTCAAGTAAAGTTGTAAGCATGGAGACCAGTAACAAGAATTTCCAGTGTGAAATAGGAGCTTATCACTTGTCCATGACAGAAGGGAGAGATGTGAATGCACTGGCTGCTCAGAAGGTATCTGGGAGCAAGCACTGAGATACAGCTGGCAAGGGGACCACTGACATCCCTGGATACGAAAGGAAAATAATATGAGAAATTCAGGGAAATGTGATATGATCATTGCTCAGATCATCATACAAGATACAAAATACAAAAGCTCCACATTGCTTTTGGAGTGGTTTACTGATGTTTTGCTTAATTCTGGACATTCCCATTAAGAAATGTTAAATTACAGCAGTA